ATCTCCTCTCACGTGCACGAGCAGCTGGATAGAACAGGTGGATTTACGCAGCTCATTTACACACTTTTCCTGAAGATAGAAGAGTTTGTTGAATATGACGTGACATGTTCGTACGAACCCTTTGTACGAACAAAAGTAAGAGAAATTTAGGATAAGAATACGAACATGTTCTTGCATGAGGCCCAGTGTTTTAACACAGTTTAATGTAAAATAGAAACAGAATTCTATTAACAGAGTTTGATGATATTTCCCATCATGCACCTGTGGTCTGCTGGATGACTCTCAGCTACGACCACATCAAACTCTCTCTCCGTATCTGTAAAATCAGCATTAGCTAACGTCAGCTAGCTGTGGCGGCCATCTTGAATGGTGTTAATGAGTCTCGATGTTCATCCAATCATCACTCTCTTGATGAAACCGTCAGCCTGTCCCTCTGTGAGAAACCTTCCTCTGACCCGGTTCTGTTCTGGGTTCTAGGACAACATCCTGGTGGTGAGCGATACCACGAACCACCCCATGTCCATCGTCAGCTCCACGAAGAGCAGGTTAGACAGGAAGTCACTTTGAATGTAGTTTCAAAATAAAAGCACCTGAACCTGACCTGTGCCGTCCGCCCCGCAGACTGGCCCTGCAGCACGGTGACGGTCACGTGGTGGACTACCTGAGCCAGCCCGTCATCGACTACATCCTGCAGAGTCAGCTCTACATCAACGCCTCAGGATAGAGGATGGAGGAGGCGGAGCTTCTGCAACTGTCAGCGATATAAATAGACCCCTCCCCGTACAGGAAACTGGAACTTCTTGTCTGTATCCTGCCCCTCCTTCATGTGTCGTGTAACTTCAGGAGGTTCTTTAAGTTTCATGTTTATAAATTAGGGATGCATGACGGACATCTGAGCATGCTCAGTGTGCACGGACTGACAGGGAACCAGAACCAGAACCAGAACTCACCTGCTGGAAGGTTTTAAATTACACCAGAGTCTGCAGAAAAACCTCAGAGGTTTGGTTTAGACCCGATGAACCCGTCTTATTTTTATTATTTCTTCTGATTCTGATTTCTGACCCTGAAGTTCCCAAAACATCAAGTGTGAGGTCTGGGTCGTTTCCAGAAACAAATCCAAAACAAAACCTGTTCTTCAGAACATTTGTTGTTCAAACGAGATATTCAAACTGGAGCTTAGACCTGAAATGTCTGCAGACTTTAAACAAGAAATGCTTTTAGAAGTAATCTTTTTTTAGCAGCCGAAGTTCTGAAAATACAGATTTAAGTTTTAAAACTTAAAACTCAGATCAGAAAGTGTAAAAAATCCAACCTCTTCCTGCCTCGAGTCTGAAAACAGACTCTTTGTTTTTGTTACAAAACAAACGAGTGAAAACATAAAGAACTTTATTAGACATCAGGGTAGCTCAGATGTTAGCCTTTAGCTAGGTTAGCTCCAATGTTAGCCTTTAGCTGGGTTAGCTCCAATGTTAGCCTTTAGCTGGGTTAGCTCTCATGTTAGCCTTTAGCTGGGTTAGCTCTCATGTTAGCCTTTA